GGGAGGCTGAGGCAGGAGGATTGCTTGAGCCCAGGAGTTTGAGGTTGCCGTGAGCTAGGCTGATGCCACGGCACTCTAGCCAGGGCAACAGAGCCATATTCTATCTCAAAAAAAAAAAAAGTTCCCAGCCAGAGTTCGAGGGGTCCTCCCCTTTTAAGTTCAGTGTAACCCCCACAATGAGAACTCTCAGGCCTACCTTAGAAGATCTCTTCTTTTCTGCTTCTTTTCTGCTGACCTTTTTGAATTTCTTGTTCAGAGCTTCAAAGAGAAACAGAAGGAACAAAGCCAGATGTTTCTGGGGTCCCTGAGTGGCAGTGAAATGGGAGGACAAGAGGGGGCTCTGGGAAGTCTTGGGGTCAGAGAGAAGAGGAGGGGTTGACTGGATGGGTCACATTGTGAGACTCAGGCCAGCAAGTTCTTGTTAGCCTGCCTGCTGACCTGGAGCCAGGGACTGAGGGCAAAGTGTCCTCTGAAGGAAGGCAGATGGGAAATCCAAGGAGGCCCTAGTCCTGTGGCATTTGTGAGGGGCCTGGTCCCTTGACCTAGTTGGCCCTGGGCCACTCAGAGCCACCCCAGGTTCCCCTTCTTTAGTTTCAAGTCTGGGTGCAAGAACTTTGTGACACCCAGAAAACAGACTTAGTATCGTGTACATGGGTGCACCTGTATTTCCTATGTTCCTATTTTTCCATTTCTCAGAACTTTGGAGCCAGGCAGACCTGATTCGAATCCTGACTCTGCTGACAAAATAGCTGTGTGGCCTTACGTAACCTACTTAATCTCCTTGAGACTCAGTTTTCTCATCTGCAAAAAGGGTTCTGTAATACCTACCTTACAATGTTGTCTTGAGGATAAATGAGATATGTTTATAAGGTGAAAAGTCTGGCACATTGAAGGTGATCAGTGAATGCTGATATTTCCCTTCCCTGCCCTTACTTCACTGATATGTCTAGAATATCCTCTTTTCCTAGTAAAAGGCAAGGCAGTAAGGGATATCATTAATAGTTTTAAGCTTAGGTTCTATATTTAAGCACTTGAATTTGAATTCTGGCTCTGCTTATTAAGAACTGTGTGATCTTATGCTAGTTACTTAACTTTCCTAAGCCTCAATTTCCTCAACTGTGAAATATGAATAAAAACAGTACTCACCTCACAGAGCCTACTGCACACACAGTATGTGTGTTATTATTAGATGAAGTCAACCAGAAGATCTCCAATGCCAGGCTATAATGCCCCTCATATTTTCCCTGAACAGTCATGCTTAACCCTGGCATGACAGGACTGGTTCATCTCAGCCTTGCTTATATTCAGTAGCACTTCCTGAAGTTTCTTATTGTTGATAGGAGTTCTGCGATTCATTCAGTCTCAGAAATATTAAGTTAAACCAAGTTCACCAAGTATCTTTTTTTTTTTTTTTTGAGACAGAGTCTCACTCTCTCGCCCGGGCTAGAGTGCCGTGGCATCATCATAGCTCACAGCAACCTCAAACTCCTGGGCTCAAGCGATCCTCCTGCCTCAGCCTCCTGAGTAGCTGAGACCACAAGTATGCACCTTGCCTGGCTAATTTTTTTATTTTTTTGTAGAGATGGGATCTTGCTATGTTGCTCAGGCTGGTCTCAAACACGTGGCCTATAGCTGTCCTCCCTCCTTGGCCTCCTAAAGTGCTAGAATTACAGGCATGAGCCACCGTTCCTGAACTTAAGTCTTAATTTAAAATAAATACATTAAATAAATAGGTGAAACTCAGATGCAGCAAAAGTTGTAAAAGTGGTTCTAAAATGACTGAGGTTTGAGCAACACTACATTCATCCAAAACAATGAGTGATGGTGAAATTTCAGGCAGGGGGCTAATTAGTATAGGAAGCTGTTTTTGAGCAGATAAGCTATTTTTCTCGCTGGACTTCTGTAGGGGTCTGGCTCAGGGATCTAGGCCAGGAAGTCTTTAAGGGGGCTTTCAGTTTCTTTTGTTAATGTGGGCCTGGAAAATCTTTCATTAAGTTCCCAGCTAGGCCAGGCACGGTGGCTCATGTCTGCAATCCTAGCACTCTGGGAGGCCAAGGCAGGTGGATCGCTCAAGGTCAGGAGTTCGAGACCAGCCTGAGCAAGAGCGAGACCTCGTCTCTACTAAAAATAGAAAGAAATTAGCTGGACAACTAAAAATATATATATATAGAAAAAATTAGCCGGGCATGGTGGCACATGCCTGTAGTCCCAACTACTTGGGAGGCTGAGGCAGGAGGATTGCTTGAGCCCAGGAGTTTGAGGTTGCCGTGAGCTAGGCTGATGCCACGGCACTCTAGCCAGGGCAACAGAGCCATATTCTATCTCAAAAAAAAAAAAAGTTCCCAGCCAGAGTTCGAGGGGTCCTCCCCTTTTAAGTTCAGTGTAACCCCCACAATGAGAACTCTCAGGCCTACCTTAGAAGATCTCTTCTTTTCTGCTTCTTTTCTGCTGACCTTTTTGAATTTCTTGTTCAGAGCTTCAAAGAGAAACAGAAGGAACAAAGCCAGATGTTTCTGGGGTCCCTGAGTGGCAGTGAAATGGGAGGACAAGAGGGGGCTCTGGGAAGTCTTGGGGTCAGAGAGAAGAGGAGGGGTTGACTGGATGGGTCACATTGTGAGACTCAGGCCAGCAAGTTCTTGTTAGCCTGCCTGCTGACCTGGAGCCAGGGACTGAGGGCAAAGTGTCCTCTGAAGGAAGGCAGATGGGAAATCCAAGGAGGCCCTAGTCCTGTGGCATTTGTGAGGGGCCTGGTCCCTTGACCTAGTTGGCCCTGGGCCACTCAGAGCCACCCCAGGTTCCCCTTCTTTAGTTTCAAGTCTGGGTGCAAGAACTTTGTGACACCCAGAAAACAGACTTAGTATCGTGTACATGGGTGCACCTGTATTTCCTATGTTCCTATTTTTCCATTTCTCAGAACTTTGGAGCCAGGCAGACCTGATTCGAATCCTGACTCTGCTGACAAAATAGCTGTGTGGCCTTACGTAACCTACTTAATCTCCTTGAGACTCAGTTTTCTCATCTGCAAAAAGGGTTCTGTAATACCTACCTTACAATGTTGTCTTGAGGATAAATGAGATATGTTTATAAGGTGAAAAGTCTGGCACATTGAAGGTGATCAGTGAATGCTGATATTTCCCTTCCCTGCCCTTACTTCACTGATATGTCTAGAATATCCTCTTTTCCTAGTAAAAGGCAAGGCAGTAAGGGATATCATTAATAGTTTTAAGCTTAGGTTCTATATTTAAGCACTTGAATTTGAATTCTGGCTCTGCTTATTAAGAACTGTGTGATCTTATGCTAGTTACTTAACTTTCCTAAGCCTCAATTTCCTCAACTGTGAAATATGAATAAAAACAGTACTCACCTCACAGAGCCTACTGCACACACAGTATGTGTGTTATTATTAGATGAAGTCAACCAGAAGATCTCCAATGCCAGGCTATAATGCCCCTCATATTTTCCCTGAACAGTCATGCTTAACCCTGGCATGACAGGACTGGTTCATCTCAGCCTTGCTTATATTCAGTAGCACTTCCTGAAGTTTCTTATTGTTGATAGGAGTTCTGCGATTCATTCAGTCTCAGAAATATTAAGTTAAACCAAGTTCACCAAGTATCTTTTTTTTTTTTTTTTGAGACAGAGTCTCACTCTCTCGCCCGGGCTAGAGTGCCGTGGCATCATCATAGCTCACAGCAACCTCAAACTCCTGGGCTCAAGCGATCCTCCTGCCTCAGCCTCCCGAGTAGCTGGGACTATAGGCACGCACCACCGTGCCCGGCTAATTTTTTCTATTTTTAGTTGTTTGGCTAATTTCTTTCTATTTATAATAGAGACGGGGTCTTGCTCTTGCTCAGGCTGGTCTCGAACTCCTGACCTTGAGCGATCCTCCCGCCTCCCAGAGTGCTAGGATTACAGGCGTGAGCCACCACGCCCGGCTTCACCAAGTATCTTGACTTCAAGCTTTTTCAGAGCCTCTAACATGCATATTAGATTAGTGACATGCAGGGCTTTTCCAAATCAAATGAGTCAAGGGACATTTTATGCCCCCAGGATTAATTCAGGGAATGAGCAAGAAGGAGCCGTGACCATGGCAGTGGGTACTGGTAGCAGCCTAAGGAGCAGGCTTGACATCCTGCAGCCCCTTCTCATGGATCAGAGCCCAGAGGCAGGATCCAGGCCAGGCTACTTACGCACAATAGAGACAGAAGAGAAATCCAATAGGTTCATGGAGGAGTTGCTCCTCAGGCTCCTGTCATCTTTGGGCTTCTCTTCAGGTGGTAGGTGGCTGTAGATAGTGAAGAAGCACATGAAGACCAGCAGGGTAGCCAGGAGCAGGCGGGTGACATCCATCCCAGGAAGCCTGAGTGGGACAGAGAAGGTGGTCAGGTGTGTGGGCCAGGGGTAGTGGCAAGAGGATGTGCCTTCCTGCTTTGTGTTTCTTTGGGCTGGTGTTCTGACCCCATTCTGCAGGTGGAGCCAGAGGACTAGCAAGGCTTAGGATGGGGAAAGGGAATTGATGAGGGAAGAAGAAAGAAAAAAGGAGATGGGAAGAGGAAGAGAGAAAGACAAGGACAAGAGGGAGATTAAAGCAAAGAGAAAAAGAATGCGTTGCATTCATCTCTGCTGTCCAGAGGGTGCATTCTGGTATTTTTAAAGCTGGTGGCCCCAGGAAACGCTAGGCCTGGGCAGAGTTGTTGAAAGGCCTGCCTTGTAGTGGCAGAGGCTTCATGAAGGTGCAGAGAATAAGGCTAATTAAGACTCAGTGAGAGGCCGGGTGCGGTGGCTCACGCCTGTAATCCTAGCACTCTGGGAGGCCAACGCGGGTGGATTGTTTGAGCTCAGGAATTTGAAACCAGCCTGAGCAAGAGCAACACCCGTCTCTATTATAAATAGAAAGAAATTAGCCAAACAACTAAAAATAGAAAAAAAAAATTAGCTGGGCATGGTGGCGCATGCCTATAGTCCCAGCTATTCGGGAGGCTGAGGCAGGAGGATAGCTTAAGCCCAGGAGTTTGAGGTTGCTGTGAGCTAGGCTGACACCACGGCCCTCTATCCTAGGCAACAGAGCAAGACACTGTCTCAAAAAAAAAAAAAAAGGCTTAGTGAGAAAGTTGCAGGGAAAAATGGCTCCTTCAGACTAGTGTATATGTCACTAGACTTCCACACCCAGAGGGAACAAAAGCAGCTATGGTTTGTGTCAGGAGGATGGACCTGTGGACATAGGCTAACTGGACTAATTTGTTTATTTGATAGCTGGATTCTGATAGAGAAAGATGGATCCCACAGTGGGTTTCTTCCCAGGAGTGCCTGGATTTGCCTCAATCATGGCTCAAAGCTTCAGCAGTATTTTTACCTTCTAGAGTATGGGGTCTCTGCCTCTCACCCCCATTTCTACATTTTATCTCTGGTCTGGGAAAAGACTGAGACTGCTTTTTCAAGGTCCCCTCCACTCTAGCCATAAGGCCCTAGGGGAGAGAAGAGAAGAAACAGTTTGCTCATGCTGGTCTTGCCCACCCCTGGGCTTCCCCTTATAGCAGCTTGGCCAGTTTCTATCCTAATTTTCTCAGTCTTCAGCTAGATGGAGTCAAACTTTCTGCATGTCTGTTACATTGCAGGAGGAGGGGGTCCAAACAGCCACCTCCCACCCTCATTCCAAACTTCTTGAAGTTGGAGGGGACAGTCCTGTCCTTTTGAAGTCCATCCTCTACCTCTCCCAGCCCATTCTCCTGATTTGGTCAGATCTTTTCATCAACTGGGCACTCGCCTGTCACAAACTGGCCACCAATTTTCTTTCTCAAAGCCTAGTGAGAGGATAGAACAGGCACTGGCTGGGAGTCAGGACTGCTGGATTCTTGTGTTGGCTCAGGCATTAGAAAGATGCATGGATTAGTAAGATGAATAGATTTGGGCAAATCCATTTTGTTTTCTGGGCTCCAATTTCTTTCTTGGTTAAATGAGGAGAGTGGTCTAGATCAGCGGTTTGCATTCGTTTAGCAGGGGAATTCTTTCTTCAGAAAAATACTGATATGCAGAATCCAAATATATAAAACAAAAAGAGGCAATAAAGGGGTTTCTCAGACAGTTCATATCGTTGTTGTGTGGTGAAACAACACATCTCCTTAGGCCCTAATTGCCTGAAACAGCTCCTGAGGCCCTAAGGTTTCCAGCTGCATGCAGTTTGATCTCTGAGGTTCTTAGCCTCTCTATCCATAATATTTAACAAACAAACCGATAACAGAAAAGTCTGGGGACTGAGGTATAGTTATTTGCTTCATTCTCTGCTTCTCAGAACTTGTACTGTCCTCTGTCAAAGCCTTTATCACGTTGTTCATGTGTTTGTCTCTCCAACTTGATTAAAAAACGATGTCATTTTTTACTCATTTTTATGACCCTGGACCTGGTACAGTAACCAGCCCAGAGCAGTAACTCAACAAATGTGGCTGAATAAATGCTCACGAAATTCCTCTAGTCAAAACCCCTGCCCTTGGGCATCCCCTATGTAACTGCTAAACAGCTGCCGCTCTTGCTTCTGTAAACCGCTGGCAGGAACTTCCTGCTATGATAAGATAAAAGAGAAAGAAACCTGGAAGCAGGCGCTCAAAATTTGGTGGGGAGTCTCCTCCCCACCAAATATAAATAGATAATAAATAAATAAATAATAAAACTTGATTCTCTACACCTTCCTTGTGCCGCTCGGTTTGTTCTGGGTCAGTTCTGCAGTAACATTTTGGTTCCTTGACCTGGTACCCCAACTGTGGTGGCCCCTAGAAGCCACCGGCTCCGGACGGGAGTGGCGGCTGGTCAGCTTTAATGACCTTGGTGGAGGCGGTGCCATCCGCCTTTTTGTGGAAACTCCCCTGCTCGTTGGGGCCCCACCGATCACCAGGCCCTGAACCCGCCCAGTTGAACGTGAGGGTGCACACGATCAGTCAGAAGATTTTGGACATGGTAAGGTCCCGGGACCCGTCCCAGTCAGGCCCGTCCTATGGACAGAAGAGGAACTTGATCACCTCCTTCAGGTAGAGGTTCCCTAGGAGGGAATGTTGTAGCCGCTTTTGTGTGAATGTGTAGGGTTCCACAGCCCGTCAGCTAGGGAACTTGACTCGGTCCTCACCTGCGTATCTGTGGCAGCCTCGTATGGCATAAAAATGACCCACTCTCCAGAAGGGGGGTAACCTGGCCTGGGACTTATACGGGTGTACCTTAGCCAAGACGTGCCTAAATCCCCACGAGGGGAGCAGCCAGATGGACAACTGAAAAACTTCCCCACCCTTGTGTGACGCCATTCACAACTTCATCATGGGAGGTATGGAGTCCAAGCCCACGGTCCTGAGGTGCATGTTAAAGAATTTTAAGAAAGGATTTTCAGGTGACTATGGAGTTAAGATGACTCCTAATTGCCTTCGCACACTCTGTGAGGTCAAATGGCCCTCCTTTGGAGTCGGGTGGCCCCATACGGACACACTTGATGTCCCGACTGTCCGGGCAGTTTGGAGAGCAGTCACGAACAGCCCAGGACACCCAGACCAGTTCCCATACATTGATTGTTGGCTAGAAATAGCCCAGACTCTGTCTCCCTGGGTTCGGTTCTGTGCAGAAAAGGGACAGAGTAGGGTTCTCTTCACCCAGAAGCCTGGAGGAGCTAGATGCGGATCAAGTCCCAAGAAGTCAGATGTTAAAACTGTCCACCAGGGATCCCCAGAAGATGCCTTGATTCTGCCTCCACCATATAATCCCACTGACCCGTCCCCAAGGCCACCACTACCTATGGTCCTGGACACCCCACCGCCATCCATCTCACCACCTCCAATGTTGGAGCCACTCACCAGACAGACCCTGGTGGCACACCATCTCCATTCTTCCCAGAATCCAACTCTGACCCTCCAATTACCAGTCCGCAAGGTCCAAGGCCAGTCCCGTGTGATGGATGATGGAAACGTCCAGCCCAGACAGCCAGTCCTCTACTATCAACCCTTCTCTACTATAGACCTCCTAAACTGGAAGCAACATACTCCCTCCTACACTGAGAAGCCCTCCTACACGGTGTTCGCGAAGGGGATAAAAAGCCCACTAATATGAATAAGGTTGTTCAGGTTACACAGAAGGCAGACAAGACGCCTAGAGGCTTCTACGAGCACCTCTGTAAAGTATACAGGGTCTACAAGCCCTTTGACCCTGAGGCACCAGAAAACCAACGAATGGTAAATGCAGCCTTGGTGGCACAGGCCTACCTGGATGTACAGCACAAATTGGAGAAGTTGGAGGGTTTCGCTGGAATGAGCATCACTCGACCGATGGAGGTGGCCCAGAAGGTCTACAGAAATCGGAATAGGGTTGCCCAGAGAGAAAGTGACAAAAATATGAGACAAAAGGTCTGACTCCTAGCAGCAGCACTTGGAAATCCCATGGCCCCTCAGAAACCTGGCCAGCACCCGGAAAGAGGATCCTGAAGGAGGGGGACGCTGAGACCACACCAATGCGCTTATTGCAAGGAAACCAGACACTGGAAAAATTAATGCCCCCACTGGAAGACTGGCCCCCCTCCCCCAAAGACAGAACTCTCCCTGAGGCTTCCAGCTGGAACCAGAAACTCAAGAGCTTATCGGACTTGCCGGCATCGGCTCGGAATAGGGCTAACCAGGTTCCTTTAGCCTTGGCCCCCAGGAACCCATGGTCATTATGGATGTGGGAGGCCAACCAGTGACCTTCATGGTGCACACTGGAGCAGAACACTTGGTGGTGACAGCCCGATAGCCCTGTTTACCAGTTGGGAAACAACTATGGTAGGGGCCACCAGGGACCAAGTTGCCTGACCCTTCTGTCAAGCCCAAACTTGCCAGATGGGGGGACATAAAGTGACACATGAGTTTCTATACCTCCTGGACTGTCCAATCCCTGTACTGGGGCAAGATGTCCTACACAAATTAGGAGCCCAGATCACCTTCCATCAGGAGGGTTCAGCCAGTCTCTTGCTCTGGGCCCGGGATCCCTTATAATGGCAATCACAATCCCAAGAGAGACAGAATGGCAATTATATAGCAAAGCCAGAGAGGAAAACAATCCTCCTGATTTCAGACAGGACTTTCCAACAGTCTGCACAGAAGACAACACCCTGAGCTTAGTACACCTGTGGCCACCTGTGATAGTGGAGATAAAGCTGGGAGCCCAACCCATGAGAAAACGACAATATCCTATCCCAAAGGAAGCCTGGGAAGGAATCCAAAAACACATAAACAGGCTCCAGCAGGAAGGCATCATCATTGAATGCCAATCTCCCTGGAATACTCCTCTGCTCCCAGTGAAAAAGCCCAATGGGAGCTACCGGCCTGTCCAGGATTTACGGATGATCA